GCTGAAATCAGTCTCATGCCCTCAGGGAGCCTCCAGGCTGGCACAGAAGTGGAGCCATCGGACCCCGCACCCAAGAGGCAGACTGTCTGGGTGTCAGTTTGCCATTTAACAGTTTTGTGACTCAAGTAAGAACTTAAATTCTCTGTGCCTTAGTTCCCTCATCTGCAAAGCAAAGCTCATGATAACAGTTGCAAGATTACATAGGTTCGTAAATGTCTGGGATCACACCTGGCACGTTGAAACCAATGATAGTTTCTTTCACCGACTTGTCATCAGGGCTCAGCACAGTACTGAGCACATAAGGATTCATAAACATTTGTCTAATGAACGTGGCTTGAAATTTGTAGGGTTTTTTTAAGATTTTATTTATTTATTTGAGAGAGAGAATATGAAAGAGCACAAGCAGGGGGATCGGTAGAGGCAGAGGGAGAAGCAGGGAGCCCGACACGGGGCTCGATCCCAGGACCCTAGGATCATGACCTGAGCCGAAGGCAGATACTTAATCAACTGAGCTACCCCTTGAAATTGTAGTTTAGTTATAATGAGTGACATATCCTAAAACCACACCACCCTCTAGTGGAGGAACATAAAGGCTTCGGGAAAAAGTTCAGGGTGGTACTCAGGGGTTTGTGCTCAGCTGTCCCCACCGCCCCCACCACTGTGTCTGCCACCGCACAGAAGTACACAGCAGAGTCACTTCGAAGGACAGATGGTTTCTTCAGGTGGAAAGAGGTTTGGCTGTTATTAAATTCAGCCTCAAAACCGTAGCTCCCTTTAACAAGGTTGTTCCCGGTGATGTATTTCAGAAGGAACTGGAGACCTTGGTTGGGATACTGGACGTACCAAAAGAGATAAGTGTTTCCAGAAACTGAATAGGTACAATTCACAGTCAGTGGATCCCCTTCAGCAACAGTGACCTGATCTGGCTGCGACACCGACTGAGCTCTCAGTCCACCTGGAAATGAATCCACACTCCATCAGTGAAGCTGCTGAAAAGCATGTACGCGGGTAATACAAGCGGTAAAGGGGGAAAGAATAGTACTCACTCAGTGTGAAGAGAATCCCAAGTGTGGAGATACGCGCAGAGGCCATGGTTTATGCTGAGCTGCCCACCTCCGCCGGAGATAAATTCCCACTCCGGAGAACAGGCTCTCGAAGAGGGACCAGCGCCCCTGTGTCAGCACAGGGTTTCTTCTCTGGGGAACCCTTTGCTTCCTGGCACCTGTGTCTTCCTTCTGTTGAGCAAGCTCTTGGCCCAGACTCCTCAAAGCTCTGTGGGGAGCCAGACTGCTGCTCTTCTTGCGCCTGGGACAAGCCTCACACTGCAGCACCCCCTAGCGTCCACACACAGAGCCGAGTAACCTCAGTGTCAAGTAGCCAGAGCTTCCAGGTCTTACCGCACAACCAGACCTCTCTGGATGTTCACATTTTCCGTGAGCCACAGAGGGAGAATTTGGCGTTCAAGGAGAAGAAACAGAAGTGTGTGAATCAAAGTGGGAAAAAAATACATGTTGAATGGACCAAGCTCTAAATGGTTTATGCTCTATTAAGATAGCATAAGAGACAGATGGGAAATAGAATTTTTTAATAAGAATGGGAAAAATAAATAGAAAAGAGAAGGAAAAGCATAGCTTTGGGTGAAGACGGAAAGAAAAAGAAAAATGAGAGAGAAGAAAAGGCAAAATAGGAGAAGAAAGCAAAGCAAGAGAAGAGAAATAACAAAGAGAACCTTGTTCTCTTCAGAAGTAATTTAGGGGCGCCTGGGTGGCTCAGTTGTTAAGCATCTGCCTCCGGCTCAGGTCATGATCCCACGATCCCGGGATCAAGCCCCACATCGAGCCCCACATCGGGTTCCCTGCTCGGAGGGAAGCCTGCTTCTCCCTCTCCCACTCCCCCTGCTTGTGTTCCCTCTCGCTGTCTCTCTTTCTTTCTGTCAAATAAATAAAATCTTAAAAAAAAAAAAGTAATTTAGAGACAGCTTCTATATAAACCTCTTTTTAAAATATTTTATTTATTTATTTGACAGAGAGAAGGGGAGAGCACAAGCAGGGGGAGCAGCAGGCAGAGGGAGGGGGAGAAGCAGGCTCCTTGCTGAGTAGGAAGTCTGATGTGGGGCTCAATTCCAGGACCTTGAGCTCTTGACCTGAGCCGAAGGCAGATGCTTAACCTACTGAGTCACCCAGGTGCCCCTATGTAAACCTCTTTGACTGAAAACTCAGTTTTGTTTTCTAGGTTGGGACTGTTGGGAGCCCTCCCCATAAGGGCCTTTAATTAAAGATTCACACAGGGCTTAGCAGGAGGCGCCATCATGGGAGTCGACATCCGCCACAACAAGGACCGAAAGGTTCGGCGCTAGGAGCCCAAGAGCCAGGACATCTACCTGAGACTGTTGGTCAAGCTGTACAGGTTTCTGGCCAGACGAACCAACTCTACCTTTAACCAAGTCGTGTTGAAGAGGTTGTTCATGAGTCGCACCAACCGGCCACCTCTGTCCCTTTCCCGGATGATTCGGAAGATGAAGCTGCCTGGCCGGGAAAACAAAACACCTGTGGTTGTAGGGACAATAACCGACGACGTGCGTGTCCAGGAGGTGCCCAAACTGAAGGTGTGCGCACTGCGTGTGAGCAGCCGTGCCCGGAGCCGCATCCTCAAAGCTGGAGGCAAGATCCTCACCTTCGACCAGTTGGCCCTAGACTCCCCCAAGGGCTGTGGCACCGTCTTGTTCTCTGGCCCCCTCAAAGGCCGAGAGGTGTACAGGCATTTCGGCAAGGCCCCGGGAACCCCGCACAGCCACACCAAACCCTACGTGAGATCCAAGGGCCGGAAGTTCGAGCGTGCCAGAGGCCGCAGGGCCAGCCGAGGCTACAAAAACTAACCCCAGATCCTGCCTTGTTATTAAAGATTTTGAATGCAAAAAAAAAAAAAGATTCACACAAAATGAACTTGAACTTTGTCTTTAAATATTTTTAGCGAGAGATAAGGAAGGGATGGTGTTATACACACCTCCTGGCAGAGTTGTCCTATTAAACAATAGATTATAAAGGCAATAAGAAAAGCCCTCAATGAAGGAGTTGAAAAATCAAGATTTTCCACATGGAGAGGCTGTTTAGAACAGAGTTCAAAAAAAGCGCATATTGAATAAAGATTGATGGTTAACTGGGCTTGCGGTATTATGATGATAAAATGCTCATTTTAATGGGAGAAGAGAATAAAGTTTTTTACTAAAAAATGCCACAATAACAGTAGAGCAATGGTTCAATAAATCCTATTGAAATGAAACAAGGAGGGGCACCTGGGTGGCTCAGTCATTAAGCGTCTGCCTTCTGCTCAGGTCATGGTCCCAGGGTCCTGGGATCGAGTCCCGCATTGGGCTCCCTGCTCCGTGGGAAGCCTGCTTCTCCCTCTCCCACTCCCCCTGCTTGTGTTCCCTCTCTCACTGTGTCTCTCTCTGTCAAATAAATAAATAAAATCTTAAAAAAAAAAAAGAAAAGAAAAGAAAAAGAAATGAAACAAGGAAGTATCAATATAAAGAAAATGTTCCTCTGATTTGCCTTAGTTTCCCTTTAAATAATGTCCAAATAAACCATATATTTCAGAAAGAGGATAGAAAATCTTTGCTTTGAATCAGGAAGAGAAGCGGATCAGAGTTGTTTCTGAAAGTTTTGCTAAGTATCTCATACTTTAATAGTTTAAACCTTGACCTTATGATAATGTCTTTCTTTGGAATATGTAAATTATCTTCAGAGTACTCATCTTCAAGCCCCAGAAGGCCTGTGATGAATAGAAAACATCTAATAAATTTCTCTTTCTGCCTAGAGCCTAAGATGAATGTTAAACTTGTGTCTTTGAGGGTCCTGGCAATCATCTCAAGAGGATGACTGGAACAAAGCTTAATGAAAGGGTTATTTTAAATTTTTTGTGGGCAGATTAAAGGGAAACATGCAAGAGAAGGTGAAGGACCCTGGGGCTAGCAACAGCCAGAAGACTTTACTGCTTCTAGGCCTGACAGGAAGGAGGAGGAAGAAATGATGGTCACCAGGGGAGGCCTGTGACTGAGGATGAATACCATCCTGTGGGCTTCAGTATAGGAAAGAAGATACAGCAACATCCAGGAGCTTCAATCTGAGACTCCAGGTACTTCTTTAAGACTGCCTACCGCCCCTCCCAATAAACTATTTATAAACATCAGAACTCTGTAATTGTCACTGATTTCCCAGGAGACAACAAAAGATGGCTCATGTAAAATAATGAGAAAGCCCTTTGCAAACATCAGACTCTGAAATGTAGGTTATATACGTTATAGAAGTATCAGAGAAAAATCAGCACAAAATAAAGTTGTTGAAGCAAAAAGGAAAGTCATCAAAGGCATTTTTTTTTGGTCTTCTTTTTTTCCAATGCAAATTCTTTTTATTTAAATTTAATTAACCAACATGTAGTACATCATTAGTTTCAGATGTAGTGTTCAATAATTAGTCAGCATTTTTTTATATGAAATTCTGACAAGGAATACAATCCAACTAAGAAAATTGTACTTTCTTCACAAGATATCCTGATGGAAGGATTGAGGTTCCACACTCATGGCTGTTGGTAGAGTTTCTCACCCATTGATTCCTTTCAGCATCTTATGATATTATCCAGTGTCAACTAAACTATACTTTACAAGATGGACATGTGTCCTGATAATACTCCTGCAAAGAGACTGAAGCTAGCAGATGCCATTTAAAAGCAAAAATAATCTAGTAGTCAGATCTCAAAAGAAATTCATCAAGAATGTTTCAGTCATCAAGAAAACTATTTGAAATGCAGATTTACAGCACGCTTATTGATTCACTCCTTAGAAGCATATTTTCTTATGTACATTTGCTCATGTACAGTGTGTCTGCGCTCAAAATGTTTTCTGATAGTGCCGAATGGAGATGCTTGGGGAGGAGAGCAGTTATTGCTCATCTCTTTTCCACCTCCTGCAAAGGCTGTGACCCTCCCTGTTTCTGTTCAGCTCTTCATAGGCTCAGTGCCTCTGTGCCCTCCAGAGCACAGTAGTAAATGGCGGCATCTGCCACCCGCACTTGGAGGATGAGCAGCGAAGACGAGAATCGCTCATATGTCATGTTGTAGCGTCCCTGCTGAGAAGGCCCTGAGCCCTTAATCAGGAGTCTTGGAGCCCTTCCTGGGAAGTGAAGGTACCAGAAGAAGTCGTAAGCAGTGGATATAGAGTGATTGCAGGAGATTTCCACCACAGAGCCCTCCGAAGCAGAGACGGTGGAAGGCTGAAACACTTGGTCCTTGCCTTCTGCAACTGCAGGAAACAAATAAAGAAGGCTGTGACTTTATGCCGCTCTTGGGCTTGCTGATTGCCCCTTAGATGAGGGGAGTATTAATAAATCTGGCTTTTCTGTTGTTTTTTTTTTTTTAAAGTGAGCCCAAATTTTAAACCAGTGGCATATGTTTTCCAAGACCAGATGGCAAAGGAGCCTACTCACCCTTCCAGGGAGAGCTGAGGAGGACCCCCAGCCACACTGCTTCCAGAGTGCTCTGCAAAGCCATGGTCAGAGTGCAGCTGCTCTCAGGTCTCAGCTGTCAGTGTGGTACTCCCAGGGAAGCTGGTTTAAGGCTGCCGGTTTTGCATTTTCTTCTTTGTGTCAGTGACATCATCAGCCAGAATTTGCCAACTGGAGAAGGGTGACTCGGGCTGTGAGGCTGCTTACTAGTTGCTTCAACTGGGCTCTGCTCTGAAAAGGTGGTTTTTGTTTGTTTGTTTTAGATTTTATTTACTTATTTGACAGAGAGAGACACAGCGAGAGAGGGAACACAAGCAGGGGGAGTGGGAGAGGGAGAAGCAGGCTTCCCGCGGACCAGGGAGCCCGATGCAGGACTTGATCCCTGGACCTTGGGATCATGACCTGAGCCGAAGGCAGACGCCCAACCACTGAGCCACCCAGGCGCCCCTGTTCTGAGAAGATGGTCTTAAAGGGAGTGTAACCTTTCAGAGGTTATAACAGTTGGACAAGTTCATTTTAGAAGCTTGCTTTCCTTCTCTCGGAGTGTCAGAAGGAGTCCTATGATTGATGAAAGATGGCTTCATCATTCAAATTAAAGTGATGTATTCACACAACAAGTATGCTGAACTTATCACATGGGATACAATGACATGCTAACTGTAAAAGACTCTTAATCTCAGGAAACAAACTGAGGGTTGCTGGAGTGGTAGGGGGTGGAAGGGATGGGGTGGCTGGGTGATAGACATTGGGGACGGTATGTGCTATGGTGAGCGCTGTGAATTGTGTAAGACTGATGAATGACAGACCTGTACCTCTGAAACAAATAACACATTATATGTTAATAAAAATAAATAAATTACAAAAAAATAAAAATAAAAATAATGATCATGAAATCTTAGTAACTGTAATGGATGAGAGATGAGTTGTTTTAAGGCACAAAAATTCCTATGCAAACATAGTCATCAAAACTTGTTATGTACTCCTGCATCCAAGATGGTCTCTGGAACAAGTATGGAGAGAAACTCTCAGTTGTACATTTTCGTAACCAAAAGAAATTGGGTCAAGAAAGACCCAAAAGCCGCCTTTGGAGATGATCTCTTTTGGATGGTACCTCTTTTCATTTTGTAGCCTGACACTGTCCCCTCCGTTATTAATGCAAGACTTAATAGTTCTCCCCCTGGTTTTTATTGTTTTATACAGCTTTTCTTGGGACTTTATTTTGAAAAGAAAAGTAAACATTTATGGCAATACGAAGTTTTTTCAGTGAAGAGTTTTATGTACACCACCACCTAGTGGACGATGTGGGAACTGATGGAACATCATTTCCCCTACATGGCCTCTGACACAGTCAGTAGCTTCTCACGTCTTGAAGTCATTTCATGACCTTTGCTTTTGTTCAAATTCTTCATCTTTATTCAATTTCCATAGAGATATGAAGGTTAACCAGAGGAAATAGCTGCCTTCTTGGAAAGCTTTCTGATTATTAAAAGATGTTCTTTGTTCAGGTGAGTGGTTATTTAACACATACTTCCATGCAGTGAAATATTTCTCTTAAGATGGTTGCTTTATTCATATCCTTTCTTTTTCTTTTTTTTTTTTTTTTGACAGTCTCCCTTTCAGGTCAGGGGAAATTCGTTTCTTTCTTTCTTTTTTTTTTTAACATATAATGTATTATTGGTTTCAGAGGTACTGGCCTGTGATTCATCAGTCTTAAATAATCCCCAGTGCTTATTACATCACATGCCCTCCTTAATGTCCATCACCCAGTTACCGCATCCCCCCTCCCCCCCTCCCCTCCAGCAACCCTCTGTTTCCTATGATTAAGAGTCTCTTATGGTTTGTCTCCCTCTCTGGTTTCGTCTTGTTTTATTTTTTCCTCTCTTCCCCTATGATCCTCTGTTTTGGGGGGAAATTCATTTCCTTTTTTTACTCTCCTTTTTCTCTTTTTTTTACTGGGATACTCCTTAATAATGATAAGACAATTATTTAGGTCCGACAGAGAACTTTTATTTATATTTTCAACCCCTCAAAATTTCCAAATAAAATAGAGAATACCAATATGGCTATAAAATTAGGATAGAAAAATCAAACATAAGTGGGCACAGAGTCATTAAATGGAAGGACTAATATAGCTACTGTGATCAAATTTTTTTTTTAAGTAGGCTCCATGTCCAGCGTGGAGCCCAACATGGGGCTTGAACTCACAACCCTGAGATCAAGACCTAAGCTGAGGGGAACTTGAGTGGCTCAGTCGGTTAAGTGTCCAACTCTTTAATTCAGCTCAGGTCATGATATTAGGGTCATGAGATTAAGCCTCTCCTTGGACTCCTGCACTGGGTGTGGAGCCTGCTTAAGATTCTCCCCCTCCCTCTTTTCCACCCCTCCCCCACCACACAGGCACACACCTGCTCTCTCTCTCTAAAAAAAAAAAAAAAAAAGACCTGAGCTGAGATCAAGAGTCAGATGCTTAACCTACTGAGCTATCCAAACACCCCACTACTGTGATTAAATTGAGCTCTGAAATTCCTGACAACTGAAACATAAAAGGAAACAGAAAGGGAATACAATTATTCAAATAGTTAAGTGTCCAAGCAGCTTCTTCCTGAAGCCAAGTGACATATAGGTATTGATAACTTAAAACTCTTTTTAGGTCACTGGTTATGTACTCCTGATTCAAAGTTTCCCACTGCTGGACCATATTTTAGTATGTGCTTCCTCCACATTTACTTATACAGTCCCCTAGTGATGGATTCATAGGCTGCCCCTAACCCACCAACACAGAAATGAACACATTTTTATATTTTCCCTTATGAACTATGTAGGAATTTTTGGGGGGTATGTGTCCAGCAAGGACTGTCCAAACATAGTATATACACATACTCCATTTCACTAAGAAATCATTCAAAGAAGTGATAGCCATTTACACTTCCACCAGCAGTGCATGAGCATTTGAGTCTCTCCAAATCCTCAAAATTTGGTATTTTAAAAATTATGAAAAAAAATTATAAAGTTGTCTAAATTTTACCAATATGCTGAGTGTGGAGTCTCATTTTAATTAACATTTTTTATTAGTGAAATTAAGCCATTCGTCTTTTCCTTTCCAATATTACCTATTCAAATGATTTGCCCATTTTTAAATTAGGCCTGTAGTTTTTCTCTAGTAAATTGCAGGAGTTCCTTATAGATAAATTCCTTGACATGTTTGACATCACGAATACCTTCTTCTGGTATACCCTTAGTCTATTAACTTTATCTGTGGTGTCCTTTCTTTCTTTAATGGAAATCCTTAATCTTGATGAAGTCAAAGTTATCACTTTTTTCACTTATGATTTGAGCTTTAGGGATCTTGACTTAGGAATCATTCTCCACTCTAAGGCCACAAATGTATTTCCCCCATTTTATTTTACTATCTTCATCAGTTTTTCTTTTATATTTTGGTTTTAATTCATCTAAAATTTGCATGTGAATACAGTATAAGAGGAGATGCAACTTTATTTTTCTCCATAGAGCAAGACAGTTTTCCCAGCACTATCCAATAAATAATCCACCTTTCCCCCTCAGATTTGTGGTACAATTTTTATTACATATAAAGTTACCTATGAACTTGGTTTCTTCCTGAGTTTTGTATTTTGTTTCATTGATCTAGTTGTTTCTTTTGGCAACACTACCATATTGTTTTTATTATCTTAGCTTTATCAAGCAATGTGCTTTATCAAGATTCCCCTTTAATCAGTCAGAATTTTAGACGCAATTCAATGAGATCCACACTAGCCATTTTAAGCAGACAAAGAATATATTAAGAGGTATTAAGTAGATCACAGACTCTCCAGAAGAGGCACTATGTGTAATGAGGACTCAATGCTATCCAGGCAGAAACAATGCTCAAACACACCAGAGGGAACACTCTAATCAAGCAATCAAATATCATCACTGCTCAACACCAGCACTACAGATTCACTCAACCAGCAATGAAGACAGTACGGAATATCCAAAGCTCTTAGATTGCTACCCTGCTAAACACAGTCCCTGCTATACACACTAAAGGATACATCTGCACACCTACTACTGGAGAATGATAATGAACTGTAATAGTAATAGTGGCCCATCCCTCTCTTGCTTATGACATAAAGCCATTGTGTTTAAATACCTCCATTGTAGAGACTTCTTTCATAGATTAGGATATGCTCAATTTTTGAGACTATTCCATGAGTGTTGGAAAAGAGTACACTTTCCGTATATCTCACAAAATTCCCTTTGAATATATCTCAGTCAGCTTCCATCTCTATACTCCTGTCTCTGCAGAGAACTCAAAAATCAGTACAAGAAGACTAGTGGAGAACAGACGCTATGCCTTCCCGCTCCACTCTTCTCTTTACCTTAGCCCCTTTGCTCAGCAAAATTTTCTCTTCTCCCTCCAAGTGCCAAAAAAAAAAAAAAGTCTCATATTCATGAATGGAGAAAAAGGAATTCAGATGTGGAAGGGAGGGAAAAAGAAAGGAGGAAAAGGGAGATGTTGTTGATTTCATGGATAGTAGCCAGCCAGAATGCCTTGGAACAGACTGAATAGACACTATGAAATGGTCTATATACATCTCATGCAAGGATGAACTTAAATATAATATGTACAACAAAATTAAAGGATAGTCCATTTGAATTCTTCCTAAGAGAACTTCAATTCTTTATTTTTTTAAAGATTTTATTTATTTATTTGACAGAGGGATAGAGAGCACAAGTAGGCAGAGTGGCAGGCAGAGGGAGAGAGAGAAGCAGGCTCTCCGCTGAGCAGGGAGCTGGACATGGGGCTTGATCTCAGGACTCCAGGATCATGACCTGAGCCGAAGGCAGCCGCTTAACTGACTGAGCCACCCAGGCGCCCCTTCAATTCTTTAGAGTAGTGATTAGAGGGGAAAAAAATACCACCAAGTAGGTTTCAGAGGGAAAAGAATATGCTTATTATTACAGGGAGGAGCACACGATGACAAAGTGAGAGATAACTGAAGGAAGAAAGAAAGGGAAATAATGATGAAGTCCTCAGCTTGCAAAAGCAGCA